TCGCTGACATTGCAAGTCGTTATGGTTATATGATTAACTATAAGAAGGCGTGGCATGGAAAGTATAAAGATCTGGCCGCGGTATATGGTGATTGGGAAGAATCATATGATATATTAGTAATAGTTTAGTCTTATAACTAAATTAATTAAAATTAATGATTTAATTTCGAATATAATTCTATTATAATTATATTATTAACAATCAAATTTAAGTAATTTGCGGTTTTCTCCAAGATATATACATATTATCATAAAACAAACATACTAAATTAATTGACATAAATAACATCCTAAATGAATAATAATTTAAAGAGATACATACATATTGAAACATTTGAAATTAATAAAATTCATTTAAGTACACATAAACATAAATCGTATTGGTTGTTTGGTAAGTAATTTAATCGTATTGGTTGTTTTAAATAATTTAATCGAATATAATGCAACACTCGTTAGACTCTTAGAAGAGGCATACATCTTCTTAGAAACGCAGCCTTTTTGACAGAAAAAGGAGGGATCCGAGGATCTCTTAATACCCGATTTTCCCAGGAAATGGGAGGATCATGATAATCGCTTAAAACCCCATTTCCTTAGACGTGCATCTCTTTATAAAGAGTCGAAGTAAGTGGCGCTATGTATTCGATTAAATTATTGAAAACAACCAATATGATTAAATTATTTCAAATTTATTTTATATTCCACTTAGTACATTAGCAAAATAAAAGAAAGATAAATGATGAAGAATTGTATGTACCGGGTGATCGTTCCAAACATTCCTTGAACGATGGTTGGGTTGGTCATACAAGTCGGTCGGATCAATAGGCCCTTTATCCAAATAGTATCGTCCCCAACCTACGAGAGAATAACAACAAGGTCAGTACATAGATTAATTAAAAAGCTTATAACAAAAACAAAAATTGACCAAAATAATGAGTACGTACCGCTTGAAATTCATCATAATAAACTCCCTCTCCTTGGAACCACTAGTCCATTTTTTCGCGAAAGTCAGACAGAAATTCGGCGGGTTTTGAGGGAAAATCCAAAGAAATATTTTCTGATGGCAGATCGGACTTAGCCGCAACCAACAGACCACTATTTCCTAGACTTTTGGGAGGGGAGGGGAGGGGTTAGAAAGATAATTCTAGATAGAGAGAGTGGAGAATGGTTGTGGTGTGAAGAAATGAGAGGGGGGGAGGGGGGGTCTGGTAATTTCTCTCCCGGTCAAACCGCACCCTTCCGATGCGGTCTACAGTTCCCGAGGGTTGACCGCTCCCTGGCGTTGCGGTCTTCGATCCGTGGCAAGGATCGCTGACGTGGCGTGCGTTCTGCCCGCTAGATCGCCACCTAATCCTGCGATGTCCAAGGTCGCTGCCCACCAAACACAGACCGCACCTTGGAGGTGCAGTTCCCAGTCTGACGTGGCGCAAAACGCACCTTGGAGGTGCGGTTTGATAAAAATGATGCTATTTTTGTAAATGTTGTGGGCTGGATGCTGTTTTTGTAAAAAAAATTAATAGGTGCTATTATTGGAAAAATCCCTCCAATTAGTACTTTCATAGATAATTGTAATGGTTAAGACGAAGCTCTGCATCCAAAGTCGGAAAAATTCGCAAGTTACACATGTTTTTTAAAAAAAATTCTCAAAAAAAATTCACAATCTACGCATGTTTGGGTATTCATCGCGGCAGAGGAGGGCGGTGATTGCATCACCGCATGAGAGAAGGACGGTGATTGCATCACCATTGTGGAGGAAGGCGGTGAATGCTTAACCGCATTACACGGCCAACGTGAAGGCCTGACATGCGTCGAAACTTTAAACAAACATAACTTTGTGCTCGGTTATCCGATCGTAGCAAAATTTTTTTTGATTCCGCATAATTTTTCAAGATCTTGCAAGCCGCAAAAGGCCGTAGGCGGTTTGGTCCCGCCTTCGTCCCGAAAAAATGTCGTTTGCTACTCCGAACGAGCCTTTTTCGATTTCGTCAAACTTTGAACGACCATAACTTTGTTCTCCACAATCCGAAACTCATGATTTTTTTTTATTTCGCATAAATTTTTAAGGTCTACAATTTTTATCATAGACATAATTCGCTACGATCGGATAACCGAGCACAAAGTTACGTTTGTTTAAAGTTTTGACGCAGGTCAGGCCTTCATCGCCTTTCTTTAGAGCGGTGATGCAATCGCCGCCTTCCTCTACAGCGGTGATGGCAATCACCGTGTTTCTGTCATGCGGTGATGCTATCACCGCCTTTCTTTCATGCGGTGATGCAATCACCGTCCTCCTCTGCCGCGGTGAAGGCCCAAACATGCGTAGATTTAGGGGTGTCCAAATGGTTACCATGGTTATAACCAAACCAAATAAGGCTAAATACCATTAACCATATAATACAATATCAGAACCAAACCGTCCAAACTAATACAACAACCAAATTAACCAAACTAAAGTTTAATCGGTTTGGTTAATTGGTTAACCAGATTAACCAATATAAAATCACATTATCATTGACGATGAAAATTTTCTGGTTAATGCAACAATTCGCAATTTATATAATGAATAAAACATACCAATCAACACGTAGTTATAGTTGACCCTTAACAAAAAATCATGCAACTAAGACAATTATCTTACGATTAGTATAGAAGTATTCACCTAACAAAAATTTATGACAATGGTATGGGTTAATGAATTGTTATGTTTGTGTAAATTGACTTAGTCTCTTAGCAATTATCATAGGCTGAAAATGACCTTTCTTTCAAGTTTTCGTCCATCATAATATATGAAATTTATCTAAATCAGGGGTCCATATGTTGTGGTCTACATTTTACATATACAAATATACACTATATGAGCAATATTGAGCTTTATATTTTATGAGTCTAAAAGGGATGAACGTTAACTCTTGAGTGGTTATGCAAAGTATTAAGTATGTGTATATAATATATGTTAGATATATGGCTAATTATTTAACTGGGTAATTTGGTTTGACTGGTTAGGAGTGTCTGAAACCAAACCAAACCACATAAACCAAACAAGCTAAAAACTTTAACCAAACCAAACCAATTATCCAAATTAACCAAATCAAATTATCCAAATAGTATCGTTTAAAAAGGTTACCATGGTAACCAAACCGTTTGAACACCGCTACGTAGATTGGGAATTATTATCGTAACGTGTATTTTGAAAATGTTTTTTTTTTTTAAACATGTGTAACTTGAAATTTTTTCCTCGAAAGTCAGATAGCAAGATTCTACATCGTCACATCAGGTTCGTCCGTCCAATTAATGATGGTATGAGTGAAAGCGACATCAATAAAGTCCAATCATATCCCGCCCTCCACCACATACCAATTAACACCTCACCGCCGGCGAAATCCCTTCCCAAAACCCCTCTCAAGTATCAAGTGAACTCCTCTGCTGCCAATGGCGGACCATCCTCCTCCGCCGCCGCACATCCTCGTCTTCCCCTTCCCAGCACAAGGCCACGCCCTCGCTCTCCTGGACCTAATCCACCACCTCTCCCTCCACCGCCGCTTCTCCCTCACCGTCGTCACCACTCCCAAAAACCTCCCCTCCCTCGCACCGCTCCTCTCCCTCCACCAACCCCCCTTCCTCAACCCCCTCGTCTTCCCCTTCCCGCCCCACCCTCTCCTCCCCGCCGGCGTCGAGAACGTCCAACAAATCGGCAACGCCGGCAACCTCCCCATCATCACCGCCCTCCACAAATTATCCGACCCAATCGCCAATTGGTTCCACTCCCAACCCGACCCGCCCGTCGCCATCATCTCCGATTTCTTCCTCGGATGGACCCTCGCCCTCGCCCGCCGCCTCCACATCCCTAGGTTCGCCTTCTTCTCCACCCGCGCCTTCCTCGCCTCCCTCACCGACCACCTGTTCGCCGACGTGGAGGCCGTCAGGGACCTGGACCCCGTGGTGTTCGATCAATTGCCCGGCTCGCCGACGTTCAAATCCGAGCATCTCCCTTCCACGTTCCGCCGCTACGTTCCTGGGAATTCCGACTGGGAGCTCGTCAGGGAAGCCCTGCTGTCCAACCTGCTCAGCGACGGCTGCGTCTTCAACACTTTCCATGCCCTCGAGGGTCCGTATTTGGATTTCCTCAGGCGGAAAATGGGTCCCCAAAAGGTCTACGCGGTCGGACCGGTCAGCTTGTTAGGAACCGGAGGCGATCCAAAAAATTTGGGTGATCACCCGGGCTCTGACGTGATTCACTGGCTCGATCATTGCCCGGATAATGGTTCCGTGCTCTATGTCTGCTTCGGTAGCCAGAAGCTGATGACCAACCACCAGATGGAGGCACTAGCTGCCGCTCTGGAGCAGAGCATGGTGCGTTTCGTTTGGGTCGTGAAGAAACCAGGTCCGGAAATGGAATTCGGTTTACCGGATGGGTTTCAAGACCGGGTATCTGGCCGGGGGCTCGTGCTGGACGGGTGGGCACCGCAGGTTACGATACTGAACCACCGGGCAGTGGGTGGGTTTTTGAGTCACTGCGGGTGGAATTCGTTGTTGGAAGCGGTGGCTGCTGGAGTTCCGATTCTGGGTTGGCCGATGGAAGCTGACCAGTTTGTCAATGCTAGACTACTGGTTGAGGATCTGGGTGTAGCCGTGAAGGTTTGCGAGGGTGCTGACACGGTCCCTGACCCGGTCGAGTTGGGGAGACGGATCGCCCAGTCGATGAGTCAGGGTTCGGCCGAGAGGAAGAGGGCTGGTGAGATGAAGGACGAGGCGTTGGCTGCTGTGGAACAAGGCGGGAGCTCTCAGATTGACTTGGAAAGGTTCGTGCAGGATTTGCAGAAACTGCAAATTGAAGAAAAAGGAGAGGGTATTAAGTAAACGTGATTCGTTAGCCTCTTTATGTAAGAAAGAAACTCATTGGCAAGCAATGTCGTTTTGTTGTATGTAAGGAAATAAAACCTTTGCTAGTTTTCTGGAGGGATGAATAAAATCAATTCCTGGTCCTTTGGGTGTACCGTGTACGTGTAATTGGAATTTCAAAGACTAAAGTTCTGCCATGCAAAGGAGACGGTTCCCTTTCAGTCTCTTTCATGACTTCTACTACCCTCCGTATTCAAGGTATTGCCAGAAAAAGAAAACCCATAGTTGACATTCGAAAAATCATTCAGCTTCAAGTTGTCCGAGCATTGATGTTGAAACGTGCAGCAGAAACGCTACAAGGCGAATCGGATGAATGCTTCACCCCACCAGCAGATGGCTTCTGATCACTTCTGCAGACTGCTCAAGTAGAACCTGGTCTTTCTGTTTATATGCCGAGATGAGAAATTTCATACTGCTCCAAAAAACAAGTGAGTATCAAGCTTAGTATATATGAAGCATCATTGCAAATGGCTTGCAGCATTTTCCCTACTCAACCATGGCCACCTTCATCAAGTCGAGGATTTTCTTTGGGCCATCTTCTGCCAAACAGATATACATGTCATGGCTCTGTCGAGAGAGTGATGGATTTGAAAGACGCTATACCGTTGGAAGCTTCATATTGACAAAGAAACCAAAAACACACTTACCGTCATATCCTATTTGATACACAGCTCTGACAAATTTCTGATGCAGCTCAACAGGCCTAGGAGATACTCCTACCTCTCTCCAACCATCAATCTCCTGGCCTCCATGCACACATCCTCGTGATCACTCGGTTCCTCCTCCGTTGCTCAAAACTCCCCGCTCATCATCTCGCCGATCTCAGCAAGACAAAGACCAAAGTTGGCAGCTTCCTTCAGAAAAATGATGCAGAGATGCAAAACCCACAAAGAAGCCTATCGGATCATGGAGAGCTCTCCCCTCAACATTGCAGAATCTTCAACCAGATTGAACTTAGCAATGTTGCAATCTCAACCTTCAAGAAAGAAATTGAGGACTGCGGTCAATGAATCCACTAGAAATAAGAATCCTCCAGCTTTTCAGGCAAGAAAAGACCATGATCAATTGGAATCAAATCCACTAGCCCAAATTTACCAACATCATCGCCGAGCTTCTTTACCAAGAGATTCCCGCTGTGCATATTGGTGTTGAGAATCAAGGTATCTGTAATAAGCTGGACTAATCCACCTTAATTAGCTTCGACAGCAAGGAATTAAAATGAGAAGCAATGGAACCATGAAGCAAAGAAGACATGGAAAGAGCTCCTGCACACACAAAGAGACCTACAGAACAGAAAAGAAGCACTGTAAATCATTATACAAAACCTGCTACAAACGATCAGTTCACAAAAAATAAAAGAATAATGGAAAGAAAGCAGCATCAGTAACTAATTTGGTGGATTTCCCGAAAGCCATGGACAGTGATAGTGAAAAACATATCTGCATTTCCATCATCAAACTCAGTAGCCACACACACGGAAAAAAAACACAATCCTCTCCCACCAGAAATGATAGTGAAAAACAAAGTTTGAAACTCAACTGAATAGATCCATAGAAGCAATAGAAGGAAAATGGGAAGCAAAAAAGCTGGTAAACCTTTTTCATAATTCAGATGCTTGCCGATTTGAATGCTGCGGTCATCCTCCAATATTGACTTGGATGGGTTCATAGAAGATTTGCATAAACTGCAAATTAAGAAAAAGGAGATAGTATTAAGTACACATAATTAGTGCAAAGGATTACATAGTCTCGTTATGTAAAAATGACATAAACAATGTTATATTGCTTGATTGTTGTATTTCAATTAATCAAGAAATAAAACCTTGGCTACTATTCAGGAGGGGAAATGATGCAGCCAAACTTGACCATAACAGCACCTAGATCAGCCATCGAAGTCAACTGGCTGCTGCTGCTGGGAATAGTGGTAATAATCACATTACAAATATCCCAGTCAGGAGAAACACCATTACACAACATCATCCGGAAAAAGTATTTGGCTTCAACTACTAACTTCCTTCTACATAATCGATTGACGACTGAACTATAGTCTTGAATTGAAACTTCAAAACCATTTTCCACCATCTGATGAAACAATACCACTGCCCTTTGAACATCACCCTTTACGCAATACGCTTTAATAAGTGTGGCGTAAGCAACTTTGGATAACTTAATACTGTTGTGCTGCTGAAGATAAACCAGCAGCATATCAGCATCTCTTATATCACCACATACACAAAGGCCATCGATAAGAACATTGTAAGTAGCAGCTGTGGGCTCAAGGTGATGATTGCTCAGCATCTCATCATGCAACTTGAATGCATTTCTCAAGTCTTTCGCTTTGCAGAGTTGTTGGATGACCGTATTGTATGTGATTGCATCAGGTGTTAACCCTACCACTTGCATCTCCCTCACATAATTGAGAGCTTCTTGCAACTTCCATTCTTTGCAAAGTGCTTTTATCAACACGCTGTAAGTAATGTGGCATGGATCCACATTGTTCTTCTTCATCTCCTGCAGCAGTGTTAGCACGTACACGGAATTTCCAGCTTCAGCATATGCATCCATGAGAGTCGTGTAAGTTATTGTATTTGGTATCAATCCATGCAGCTTGATTGTCCGCAACAAACCAGTCGCCTGCTCGATCATTCCATTTGCAGAAAGCCCATAGATTAAAGAATTGAAGGTCACTATGCTGGGGAATATTCCCTTCCCTGTTAATTGTACGAACAACTGCATAGCCTCCTCGATGTTTCCAAGTTTTCCATAAGCATCAATCATGATATTGTACAAAACAACATCCAATTTAAAGCCATTGTCCAGCAAAGAATCGAAGTATGCTCGTGCTTCATGTATCATGCCCTTATCCCTGAAACTCCTCAAAATTGCACACTGTTCCAAAGAGTTTGGAAATAATCTACTGAAACACATCTTATTGTACAATCTGATAGCCTGTCGCACCTCTCCTTGCTTACAGAGACCATGAACAAGAACCGAATATGTTACGAGATCTGGTTGCAACCCATTAACTTCCATTTGCGATAACAACGTCAATGCTTTATCGACTTCTCCAACCTTGCACAAGCTACTGAGCAATATACTCACCGCGAGGACGCTCAGTTGAAGACCCTGAGAAAGCATCTCCTCAAGCAGCTTCAATGCTTCGGAAATGTTTCCAGCCTGGCAATGCCCATAGATCAGTATCGTGTAGGCAACACTCTCTGGATTTCTCTCTTTAAGTAGCATATCCTCAATCATCTTCGTAGCACCACTCATCAAACCAAGTAGATGAAACCCTTTAGCTAGGGTGTTGTAGGTTACCATATCAGGCTGTACACCTTGAATCTCCATCCAACTTGCAACCTCTAAAGCTTCCTCCATGGAACCAGCTATACACAATCCATGAATAAGAATATTATAACTATATGCATCAGGCAGTAATCCGTACTTCAGCATCATACCGAAGAATGATTTTGCAACTTCTACAAAACCCGAATTACAATACCTTGACATAACAGTATTGATTGAAACTACCGAAGGCCCAAGTTCCTTGCCCTCGATATCACGTATAAATGAAACTGCCTGAGTTAGCCTAGACTGCCTGCATAGGCCATCGACAACAATGGAACCAGAGTGCTCATTCGGACGGCAACCACTAGCTTTGATGTCGTTATATACATCCCACAAGGAATCCGTATGCCTCAAATTGTACATCAGACTATTGTAAGTTTGTACAGAAGCCCGTAAGTTCAAATCTTTCATCTTCACTAGAACAAAGAGTGCATCGTGAACCATCTCGAATCTTGAATAAGCAAAAGCCAACATATCCCATACATGATCAGTTGAATTCCAAGACCTAAAACTACTGGAGAGCAGCTCGCAAATTGAAGGAGCCGAGCCAGAGCCTAGCAGAAATCATAAGACATTCAGAACAAAAGTCTAATCTGAGCTAGTGCATAGAGTGAGGCATATTGTCAGAGGAGTCCCCCAAGAGAAATTAAACCGCGCACCTTCATCTAGCAGCAATTGGTCGAGAACCTTCCTCAGCTCGTCGAACCGTCTCATTCCCGCTAAAACATGGGAAACGATGAGGGCTGAAACATTCGAGTGCCGGAACCCAAACTCCTTCCTCAGCAAATGAAAGAAATCGACCGCGGAATCCCCATTCTGGTTACTCAAATCCCTAATCACCGAATCAACCTGGTCCGGGGTCAGCATAGCTATCAGGCTTCTAAACTCGCGTGCAGAAACGAAACTCGAGAAACCCAAGCAACTAACTCCGCGAACAATCTCTTGAACGATGCAGTCTCCAGACTCCGGCAGGGCCACGGAACCGGCGGCAAAAGCAAGAGCGGGTTCGTCGAGGGCACAGGCGGAGGCGGTGGAGACGGAAGGCTTGGGGAAGGCGAAGGAAGAAAGAGATGCGAGAATTGGGGATTTGAAGAAGAGAAGACGGAGGGGAGTTCTCCATCTGCAGAGCATAGAAAGGGGAAGCAGCGGCTGTTGTTCACAGGTAGGCTAGACGGGACTGAAAGAAAGGATTCAAATTGGAGAGAACGAGAAGAAGAGAAAGAGGGAAGGGCTTCGACTGCGAGAGAGAGGAAGGGTTTTGGTTTTCGATTGGAGGGAAAGAGACGAAGAGGGGGGTTTAAGGAACATCTGTTCAGCGCCTGACTGTGACTGAGACTAGAGAGGGGTTTTGGCTTGGGGTTTTGCCGGGCGGGAGGGGAGGGACAACGGATTCTGGACGTTGGGAATTTGCAATTAAACGGTACCGTCGTACCGATGACAAGGCAGCAGTAGGCAGTAGCTTTCTTCTGGGTCCAGATGGCGGGTCGTGTGGAGTGGACCTAAAGGTAGCGCGGCCCACAATACTAGATTCGGCCCAACATAATTACAGAGTCCCACTACAGATGTATTCTTACGTGATAGAGGCCAACTAGTGGTTAATGGTTATGGTCTAATACTTTTGGATTGGCAATGTGCATGTGCAGGATGAGGTATCTAGATATTTATATCAGTTTGTGGCAGGTCGAGTTCAAATCGATTAATTTATCATGATGTGCGGATTGGGTTAGGTTGATTTATATGGAAAATATAATTTAAAAGAAAAATATTAAAAATATACTTTTATCGTTAAAAACTCAATGAATAAACTATAATATGATAAATTATTTGAAAAATTGATGTCTCGCATGTGTACAACTTCATTATAGAAAAATATGAGGTAATAAAAGTAAAATCTTTAGTAATTTAAGTAAAGTTACATATAATTTAGGAAAAGACGGGTCGAGAATGAGGCGGTCAGAGCAGGTTGAGGAGAGTACCCATGCACGTCCCGCACCGTTTACGGGGCAGGTATTATCCACCTCAAAACAGGTCGGTTAAAATTGATCTGGACGAAATTATCATCCCTATTTGTCAGGCCACAGTTATGCTCGCAGGAAATAGGGTGATAATATTCGGTAATAACGTTGTGAAATTGTACCGGAGGTTGTACCTATAAAGTTTAAGGTAGAGTATTTGTGCTGAAACAATAGTTTAATCGTAGTTCAACTGTTTCATACTGCTAAAAATTACCTACCGATTTGGTTTCCGATAGGAAGATTTTCCGGTTTGACCATTGGTATTGTACGGTTTCATAAACCCGAGTGATAAGTGATAACATGAGTAGGAGTTGTCACCAAAAGAACATTAGGAGTATTTAATAAGAGTATTTATTAACAAGAAAAAATAAACAAAAGAGATCGATGGACACTCGTTCAGGGAAAAAAGCTGCTCGATGAGATGGGTTGGGGTCTCGAGTTTAGTTGTGTTCAGTTAATTATTATGTGTTGATTGTTAGTGAGTTGTATGGGCTTAGGATGTTTAGTTTAATTGTTACAGCAAAGATTGAAATACCGTACTGTACTGATGGTTAGATCATAAAAATATTCTATTAGAGGCTAAATTGGTAGGCAATCTTTAGCGGTATGAAGCGGATGAACCATGGTATTAGCATAAAATATTCTACGACTGGCTTTTTTGCTACAACTTCTGTTATGGTATTTCAATCCTTGTGTTAAAGAGGTACTAATTAACGCCCTATGTTTTTAAAATTTGGTACCCCTAACTTGGCAATTTGACGGTTTTGCCCCAAAAAATTCCCAATCCCTAACAATCTTCGTCGTCGCTGATTGTTGCTGGGAGTCTTCTCTGTCGCTCAGTGCTGCTGACCGTCGTTGCGGAAAAAAATTCACAATCCCTAACAATCTTCGCCGTCAACGAGTGTTGCGGGGAGTGTTCTCCATCGCCGAGTGCTGCTGCCGCCGCCGCGGCAACTGCCTTCCCCTAAAGAGAAAATTCAGTTAGGAATGCCGAGAGACTAGCTTCTTCAAGGAATGGATAGATGTGTCTGTGAGCTAGCCATGTGAACATCAGGATCCCAATTCCGCCTCCGTTTCTGGGTTTCAACTCGTCAGAGGTCATCATTTTCCTTTCGAACCTTGAACCGATGGCGAGCAGCCAGCCCGTAGGGCCTTCTCTCCTTCCTCAACGGCGACGGGTGCCTCCATTCTCAACGGAAACGAGGCGGAGCAATAGGAGAGATAGTTTCGCCGACGACAGGATAGATGGAGAAGAGAACGCGACTGAGAGGGATTATGGCAAATCAGCGACGGGATTGGCAATTATGGGTTATGGATTTATTGTCGGCGACCGACGGGATTGTCCCTGCGTGCGGGATTTAGGGCGGCAGATGGTTTTGGGAATTAGGGGTTTCCGTTTTAGTTATTGGTGGTAGAATTGTCTGTTTAGTGAATTTAGGGCGTAAATTTTAAAAGGTTAGGCCGTTAAATAGGAATCTAGTTGTGTTATGTGTTAGTAGTTAATAGGGCTTATCTGTCTACGTGGGGTTGTCATGCATGGACCCAGTAAGTGTTAGGAGTTGAGGTCAAGTGGGAGTGTTCTTGTGTAGTTGGAGTGTTATGAGTTAGTAGTTAATAGGGCTTATCTGTCTACGTATTAGGTTTTCGTTCTTATATAAATATGTAAGTTCGACATTAGCTCGGGAGGCAATCAATAAACTAAAAGGTTCATTGACACGGACATCGTTCTCTCGCTTGTGAGTTACAAGCAAAATTCTTGACTCCTGGGTTACGAGTTCATCAGAGATGCACAAGAAAGATGATATGTGGAATAAACACATAAATAAAAATAAAATTACAAGAGCTTGACCAGTAAGGGTGCTTTTGTTAGAGTTAGTCAATAAAGTTGTAATGCCATATTGACGGGAGAATGAAAGTATAACAATTGAGTCTTTTGACAGTTTAATTAATTAATTAAATTTTATATTAATTATTGTGAAAAGAAGTATCTTCCAGAACGGTAACTTTCTTTTTCTGTGAAAGGATATGTACTTTCAGGAAAGATAACTGTCTTTTTCTGTGAAAGGATGTGTATCTTTGGAATTTAATTTTCAGTTTTCACAAGTATAAATAGATGACTGTCATAATCTTTTTTAAGACGAGAGATTACTTCTTCTTCCCGTTTTCCTTCTCTATTTCATAAACACAAAAGTCTGCAAGATTACTGGAGGTGGTTAGGGATGGCAATGGGGCGGGTTTGGGGCGGGTTTGCCTAAACCATCCTCATCTTCAAATATACAAACCCATACCCGCCCCATACCCATGTGGGTGAATGTTTTGCAAACCCATCCCCATACCCGTGGGTTTCGGGTACCCATGGGTAATACCCGTACCCGTACATCCAACATTATTATAACTAAAACTTACAAGAATTTTTTTAATTATAACTCTAAACGAACCAATTATATCATGAAGCGAACAAAACACAATCGTTTTTTTAAAACGGGTCAAAGAATATGATCCTAAAATATCCATTAATACATAATATCGAGTATAATATTTTTCAAATTATTATGTTATAACTGTGATAATCTACTAAGTAATAATTAACTAACATAATCTCGTTGACAATGGGGAAATTGAAAGAGTGAATGGAGTATTGAGGGGAATGGATTAGGTTTTGATTAAGGTGGTCACTCAATTGCATTCTACTATTTATTTTCTCAAGTTATCCTCATCATCATTGATAGATTACAATTTGATCCACATATTTTTTATATGTGAAGAAATTCTCTTGATGAGGCGGGTATGGGTATGGGTATAGGACGGTCGGGTACCCGCGGCCATGGATATAATTGCCATCCATGGAGGTAATTTGCTCGAACCAATCAGCAGTTTGTTGTGGGGGCAAATTCACTCTATGAAAAATAGTCTAGTCACGATTTCAATCTATTTTTTCCTACTAGTTCTGGCGGCTTTTGTTTAGGATAATTCTCCCTCCTAAAAATAGGATCTAGCATTTCCATCCTTCGAGTCTCCTCTGAAACTTTATCACAATCGGATTCCAAATCGAGGTCAAGGAAGGACTTGTACCAAGGGGTAGCGCTTGGTAGAGAGTTGGCAAGTTATCCGAATGACACTCAAAACATTAGCATATTTCTCCGGATTAGCCACATTTTTAATTGGAAACATTTTAATTTTATCAAGATGGTCTCTTAGCCCTATCACAGCCTAAAAACACCACATATAGCAACAGATGAAAGTATCATCCACCGATGAACCAGTTGCTCACGGGTTAAGAGTTGTTTGTAATTCACAAGCGAGATGAACCAGTTGCTCACGGGTTAAGAGTTGTTTGTAATTCACAAGCGAGCGTACGACGTTAAGTGTCGAAAACCTATTTTGTTTGTTATTTGATTGATTGCGGATTAATGTCGAAAGTTGAAAGTCGAAACTTCAATTTATACTACTTTTTCCATGCTATAGTTAATTACTTGGTGGGGTGTGTGATGTCCTAACTAGGGATGACAACAAAATCCGAACCCACGGGTGCCCACCCGATCTAACCCAGTCAACGCGGGTAAAATTCGTGTTGATGGGTTTTGGGCCGGGTTTGGGTTTAAACCAGTTCGCTATTCATCGGGTTGGGTTGGGTTTAGGTAAACCCGCCCCATGGGTACCCGCAGTGCCGGACCCAGAAATTTTCTATAGGGGTGTCCTCTTTTAAAAAATAAATTTAATAAAAATAATTAATAAAAATAAAATCGTAAATATGAAAATACCTTACTCTCACAGGTTAAACAAGTCCATGATATGTTTTCATATTATGAAATAATTGTAGAATACACTTTGTGTCTATAGTGTTAAAAAAAATTGTCTCTATATATACCCTACTAGACAATCATTCACGAACTTATCGCATATTCGATTTGTAAACTTGTTCTTGATGTAACACAAAGTTGAAACACTCTTTCAACACTTGCCATACAATCATAAAATCAATACAAATTAAGGGTACTTTGAAATTAGTTTAATTGTTAGGTTTTTAAAATAATTAGAGATAGAAATTGCCATTTTATTATTACACATTGTTCAAAATCGAACAACAAATGAGTTGTAGCTCAATGGAAATTAAGTTTATTAATAATAACAGTGTTCTAGATTTGAATTATCCAACCTACCACTTATATTCCTATACACAAATGACAGTAGGATAATCATTTTTTCAAATTTAAGGGGTGTCCCACTATCAATTATATTTGTTGTGTCCATACGTAAATTACCACCGGGGGTTGGATAATTGTTTTCCAAATAATTAGGGGTGTACCCCCTGGGTCCGCCCCTGGGTACCCGCCCACATCCATATAATTAATTTTTTCAGTATATTTAATATTCTAAATAACCAATCTTATATATGTTTGTGGAGACATGTCTATTTTTTTCTTCCTAATTGTGTAGAATGAAGTTGATGTTATCGAGTGGAGAGTGAAGAAACTTAATTGACAAGGAGGAAGAAGTTTTCAATTAATCATGTTATTTATGGATATTTGTGATTTGCTTCAATTTTCTTGAGTTTTCTAGATTGGTGTTGAACCATTTGTATAGCTAATTTGTGATTTGCTTGAATTTTCTAGATTGGTGTTTTATATATGGATAATTTGTATTGGGAGATTGATATTTGATTTTAATTTTGATAGGAACTTGTTATTGTAAATTTTTTACGACAAAATTCCGTGGGTACCCATGAACCCGCAGATACCCAGCGGGTTGGGTTTGACTTTTTCAAACCCAGTGAGTTTTACCCTAAGTTTTTTTTCACGAATATACCCATGGGTTTGGGTTTGGCAAAACCCGACCCAACCCGACTCATTGCTAACCATGATCTTATGCGACTTAAATTAAATCAATCTAGTGACGAGAAGTCTAGGGAAAATGTGAACCATCCATTGCCACATGCATATTTAAACCAATGGATGATGAGTTTAGATACTAAAGTTCGAGTCTTGGTTTTTAAGATTAACCAAAATATCATATTTAGGGTCTAGAAATGAAGTGATGACAGATGGTAAAGACTTCAGAAGAGAATTGAATTTCAAATTGTACAAATAGGGTTGAGTATCTGTACCCATCCATTTGCTGGCTTAGCAAAATGTATACAACAACAATCAATTTCTACCAAGAAAAAAGGTTTAACTGAGCCAAGTATAGTTATCAACTGGTAGGGATTGAGCTTGTGCTATGGGTTTCTCCTGGTTAACTAGATCCTAACCAAGACCAAAATATCTAAGCTTACCAACTTCTAAATCCTTTTAAAGGTAATATGACCTTACTTTCTCATACGATAAGTTTATAGGGACTAGTGTTTAGCTATAATAAGTAGTCTCATAGAGAATTAGTTGAAGCAGCAATGTCACAGCATCATTACTTCATAACTTCCCCTGGTTTTGCAGCAACCTAATTCATAACTATTCATTATCATTAGATTTAAGGAGAGAAATGCACATCACTGGGGAAAAGAAATATAACAGTCCACAAATTTCCAGAAGCCCCATGATATCATATACATATAGTCTTTCCTACAGTTACATAAAAGAAATGTGGCTCCAAAACTCCATTTTCCGATCTTATTGTAGCAGTCTCGGATTGCAAAGAAGTCGATTCAGATTCCAAATCCTTTCTTCCTTTTCACATTAACTAGTTTTGCTGGTAGTGGTAGAGGAAAAGGGAAACCATATCCAAAAAATACTAATGTGGGATGAAATATCTCTGTCGATGCAGGCAATCTGTTTCCCTCAACCTCAAGCACTACTGAACCAAAAATGGGCATGGAGAAGAAGATAAAATAGAAAAGAAAAACACATCACAGAACAGAAGAGTGCAAGTTAAGAATAGTGATCATCAGCTGACAAAACCATTGCAACGGCATACCTACACATTTTTTATACACCAGTTGCATAATTACAATAGTTAAAAGAGCACAATATTGTTAACTATTCATCACATGGAACTGCTCTGCATAGTATAATGCAGCCCAGAAATCAGCATATATATTAAAATTCCTTTAAACTCCAAGTTTGGTAATAAAAACAAAAGAAATTGTCTTATTCTTGTGGAAAAATAAATGGCTTCGCCCGGGTTCGAACCGGAGACCTTCAGTGTGTTAGACTGACGTGATAACCAACTACACCACGAAACCAATTTGTGTATAACAATAACTTGAGCTTGCATTTAGCTTTACGCAACGGGTCTAGTCATTGATAACTAATAGATGGAAAAAATTACAATAACAAGTTAACTAGAGGTTAGAGGATACAGAAACCAAAATTTCCATGAACTGTTGTCAAAACTTAAAACACACATGCATTATTACTTTCATATCAATAAGTTACATTTATCTTTCTATTAAGGATATGTTTATGATGAATTACAAGTTTCATTATTATAATTAATATGAGAAAAATATGATAATAAATAGTTTAAAAGTATACGTGAAGGAGAAAGTTGACATGTCGTCATCAGAAAATTAAACAAACTCACACTTAATACAAAATTCAACTCGCCATGAAAAGGTTGGAAAAAAAAATCTGTTCTTTTTCTCCCCTCATGAACAACAAATTGCTTGGAACCCAATTGAAGAATATGGAAGAAAGAAAAAAAGAACTCAACACACACACACTTTACCAAACTTTGAATTGAACTCTACACACACACACTTCACCAAACTTTGAATTGCACTCACTATCAAATTTAATCAACTAAACCCAAACACACCATCATATCACTAGCTGTATGTGATGAATCCATCCTCCCCCTCCCTATTTAAGACCCACATCAAGTCCTTAGCTTGAACACTTTTACCAAAACCCCATCCTCTTATTTATTAAAAAAGAAAAAGAATCTTTAACTTATTACCAAGAAGATATCATTCATTAATATCCTACCACCAATATCAACATGTACAGGAAAGCAAAGGAAGAGGAGTGTTGCTACAGTTACAAGAAGAAGCAGCAACAAGCAGCCATTGCAAGCATCTTCTCATACAAACACTTGAAAAAAGTGTACCCTTCTGCTGGGCTGTACAGAAGCTCTTCTTCATCTTTGTCTTCAATTTCATCCAATTCATCATCTTCACCCTCACTGTCTCTTTCACAAAATTCAAACGATGACTCTTCTCTAACGGACCATTCATCTTCATCCCCACTCGACCACAAGGTTTCCTTAGCCCTCCGCCTCATTGCCCCACCGCGACAGAGGAGGAGGGAACATTCACCGACGAGGACGGCTCCTCATCCGGTGGGTGAACATGATCACGATCATGGTGATCGAGATGGTGGTGGTAGGGAGCCGAGGAGGTGCAATTGGATTACAAAGAATAGCGGTAATTATTGGTGATGATGTCAATTTATTAGTCTTTTAATCTGTTCTTATATGAAGTTTTTTATTCTTAATTCTTTTTATCTATCAACTCGTAAATTTATAATATAAGTATAGCGTGGTTGCATTTTTGTAAATAACATCACCGCATAACTTCTAACGGTTCAAATTGTGGTTGTAGTACTATCCAATAGGACTAATCCTCGTTTGACGCCAACCCATCAACATGCTGACCCGGTTCGGTTAGCTCGAAAGACTAGGAACACTCAAATTCTACGTGTGTAGAAGAAGTAAAATGATTTTTTTTTATTATAATCAAGATGTAAAATGAATTAGGGTTCGGTGAATAGGGGGAAGAAACCCGTGATGCTTAATGCTCTTTTTTAGTTGCTGTGTACGTAGCAAGCTAGCTAGGCTGCAGTTGAGATATACATGTCATCGTGATCAATGTGATGCAACACACATTTATCCCAAAAAGGTAGAGTTAGCGAGGGAAATAATTAACTAAGTCACAACTTGTTGCGTTTTAGGAAAGATTTTATTAGAAGATTACTTCTAAGTTTCTACAAGTTCTTTGGTCCAGCTTTTGATTTTGTCATCGTACGTGGTGGTGATATCATGTGGGAAATATGTGCAGACAGAGCTTATGTTGCATTTCATGACGAGTGTTGGGGAGTTCCAGTTTACGAAGACAAGTAAGCAAGCTTGATACACAGTTTTGAATTGCTGAATTAGGCAAAGAATCATTAATTTAGTTTTTCCTGTGTTGAGTATTACCTTCAATTCAATTCAATTCATCAAACTGATGCAATAGTGCCTGACAATTGGAGTGCAGCCAATTGTTTGAGCTTCTCTCGCTGTGTGGTATGCTGATGGACTACAACTGGACTGAAATTCTCAAGAGAAAGGAGCTCATCAGGTAATTTAATTAGTTAGTTTGTCTCAATCCACCGTTAATTAATTATTATTTTATCCATTTTACTGTATCTATATTGCCCTACTCATACCTGATAGATACACATATACAGGAAAGCATTTGGTGGGTTTGATCCAAATGTGGTGGCAAAAATGGACGAAAAAGAAATCACAGACATCATCTCCGACAAGACCTTATCCTTAGTTGAATGCAGAGTCCGATGCATCGTCGACAATGCCAAATGCATTCTCAAGGTAAACCCTTTTTTTTTTAATAATTGCGACATATATTAGGTTTTTTTATTTAAGAAATTCAATTTTGGAACTTACAGATTGAAGATGAATGATAATACCGCTAGATCAAATTATTGTTCCGGGACATCGCTAAAACTTTTAAGAAAAATGATTATTCAATTTTGATATTAGTTTGCGTATGGGTAAAATAAAAATATATAAGTGGTAGATTAGGTAATTCGGGTAAATATATATATATATATATAGAAGCGTTAGACTCGGTGATTTGGGTAAAACAATGATATATAAGTGGTAAACTAGGTGATTTGAACATAGGACACTACTATTATTGGTAAACACAAGTCTATTAGTAAAAATGCTATTCCTTCCCCAATTATTTTCAAAACCAAACAATTAAACCCAATTACGGACTATCTGCCCATCAGCATCTTAATTATTAGCAAAATTGGTTAACCTAGCCGTGCGTTCGTGAATGCAGATAGTGAGGGAATTCGGGTCATTGAGCGGGTACATGTGGGGGTACATGAACCACAAGCCGACGGTGAACCGACTGAAGCAGCCGAGAAACGTGCCGCTGAGGTCACCAAAGGCAGAGTCAATGAGCAGGGAGCTGTTGAAACGCGGGTTCAGATTTGTTGGGCCGGTCATCGTCTACTCTTTCATGCAAGCCGCCGGCTTCACCATCGACCACCTCGTCGACTGTTTTAGGTACGAGGAATGCGTCGCCCTTGCCGAACGCCCCTGGAGGCATATGTGAGTGATTCAGTGATCTTCTTTTGTTTCTTCTAAAATTCATATCCAGTAAGACACGAGTTTTATTCAAATATATATATATATTTGCATCACTGTGAAAATGATTATGTATGTATGTATAATAATCTATGAGAGTGTTTCTACATAGCTTAGTATGATGGGAGTCAACAAAACTTTTTTCCACTTTTGGTCGGAAATGGATGTAATTCTAGCTCTGGTTTTGTACTTGGGGTTGGATAGAATTGGCGAGATTGATCATATGATTATGCATGTAGCTCTTGAACACATTGAGGTATTTTTTTCTACTTTTGAGAATAATAATCTGGATAAACTCTGTGTAGATTCTATTTTATGTGATATATTATTTTTAGGTGTGGATGAAACCTATTAAGAGGCCGAGATCAACCTTAACCTGCATTCCAACATTCAAATCAATATATGTATAAGATACTTGAAAAGCATGGAAGAATAATAATTTCCTCAAAAAGTCGTATTTATTAAATCCTATTGTATCAACGGTATGACCGAAAAATCTAAATTTTCTTACACTTTTGTAGTTCGCATTTCTACTCGATAAGCTTTAACCTAAAGGTCTCTCCCATAGCCCATATTGATTGATTGGTGAACTAGCAAAATAATACATCTCGAGGAGTATGTGGGCCATCCTAGTGACATGAAGATGATTCGAAAACAAAAGGCAAAAATACAGTTGTATATCCACAACTATCACGTTTGTTACAAATATATCCACAACTATCGAAATACACGAAATATCCAATTTCGTTCATTGTTTGAACAGTAGGTATCAGCTAATGGTATGCTCCTCTTTTACTTTGCTTCCCTGGAAATGCCCCCACTAAATGGTGAATGAGCTTACAGTACAGACATTCTTGTTTTAGCTCAATCTAGGTTTGGTCTTTTTTTGGGGTTTCAATCGATGGGTTTTGCTTGCATTAGGGCATGTTCTTGCACTGAGATATTCATCCGGGTTGGTGTGAGATTGGTTGTTTAGTTTAATTTTGTTGATGATCTCTTGTATCTGGTCTAAGTTTTTTACTCGGACTACTGGATTGCTAGGTTTAGTACAATTTAGCTTTGAATGCTAGCTTTCCCCAACCTGCCGGCAGAGGGAAGCCTTCGATCGACGGCAGGCAGCCGCATTTCTCCAGAGTATAAGAAAGAGAAAAAAAAAATTATTTAGTTGCTGACGTGGCGTTCACATGTGAAATTTTGTTGACCTGGATCTTACGTGTGGGATGGATATGGTCCTAGTCAGCGTTCCGTCACATTACCTGACGCCGTAACAAACGACGTTAAAGTTTGTAACGGAAATGGATAAATTTGTCACACAGCCCTCCGATTTTTGGATATTTTGTGTATTTCAATAGTTGTGGATATATTTGTAACAAACGTAAATACGTAATAATTGTGGATATACAGCTGTATTTTGTCAAAACAAAATAACGAAACGGTGTGAATGAAGGTCGTTTCAAAGAAAAACAATGAAGGCCCACGAGATCACCCTCTGGATTCTGGAAGACCATTAATATTGGACCCATCCCTTTAAGCTCCCCAAATGTTCGACCAACATCAGAAGCCCAAATGTATTGGTCATGTTGACTCGTATTGTATGGTTATGATTTATGAAATTATTAGACTAGTGATATTAGTTGGTAAAAATATTTATGACTTTGTTACGGTGACATGCATGTCACGGTGACATGCACTTTTCGGTCGACCTTATATAGGATTAGGTCGACCTAATCTGTTGTTTGAGTGTAAAAACAGTTTCATGGTGCCTACTTTGGAGATTCATATCTTACAATTTCATGGTGCCTACTTTGGAGATTCATATCTTACAATTGGCTAGATGAAAATTGGAGATTAAAGGCTTGTTTTGAAGCTGAAGTGTCCCTCTACACGTTAAAGTACTTGGGAGCTCAATATAAAGTCCAGAAGACCATTTTTGAACCTGACCAAAAGGCTATGCCAAAACTGGGAAACTGCCTGAAAATGGCCAAGTCTGGCAACATGTTTGTCAAGCCTACTTTGGAGCTCAATTTGAGAAGCATGGATGCGAGTCAAGTCCAGGAGTCTCTACCACGTTATATTAAGTATTTTATTATACAAAAGCAAGACATTGGATGAAAGATTGAATATCTTTAAAGCTTCAAACAAAAGGCTCGAAGTTGCTACAAAGGCTGTTTTTCTGGCAGCTTGCTTGTGCTCGAAGTCTGCCAGGAAAACATCCTTCGTAGCAACATCGACCCTTTTGTTTGAAGCCTTACATATATCCAATCTTTCATCCAATGTTTTTAATTTGTATAAAAAAATACCTAATTTAACGTGGCAGAGGCTCCTGGACTCGACTCGCATTCATGCTTCTTGAATTGAGCTCCAAAATAGGCTTCACAAACACGTTTCCAGTTTTGGCATAGCCTTTTGATGAGGTTCAAAAATGGTCTTCTGGACTTCCTATCGAGCTCTCTTCCACTTCAATTTGTAGAGGGACACTCCAGCTTCAAAACAAGTCATTAGTCTTCAATTTCCATCTAGCCAATTGTATGACATGATTATCCAAAGTAGACACCATGAACTGTTTTTACACTGAAACAACAGATTAGGTCGACCTGATCCTATATGAGGTCGACCAAATCCTAAATGAGGTCGACCATATCCTATATGAGGTCGACCGGAAAGTGCAAGTCACCATGACATGCATGTCACCTAAAACTGAAAATAGAAAAAAAAATTAAAATTGTCTAATTTGAAATTAAATGAGTAAAATGACTTAAGAAACCATACTTTCAAAGTCAACTTATTAATTGCTCGTCCATATTAAAACTGAACTTGAAAAATCTGTAAAAGTCGATTAACTACATATTAATCCGCCATATAATTATGATATAAAATCATAGGGTGTGTGTTAGAAACCGAGTTCTCTATTTATTACTATAATTATTATTAGGGTAATTATCAATAAGGTTAGTAGTCATTTAATAGAATTAGGTTTATTGTTAGGGTTTTCCACTATTTCCTATATATATGTACTTTGGGCTTCCATTCAGAATCAATAAGAAGCATATTAAGAAAATCCCTAAACCCTGTTCTCTCCCAAATCCTCTCAATTTCTCTTCTTTCCCTAATCCGGCCGCCGGCCATTCTTTCTCGTTCTTCCCCAAATTCTACTTCTTAATCCTTAATTCTATTCTTCAAATCCCTAAATCCCAATTATCCAACCTGTTAGAAACCTTGTTTCTAACTGTGTGCATACGGTGACGTGCATGTCACGGTGACTTGCACTTTCCGGTCGACCTCAGTTAGGATTAGATCGACCTCATTTAGAATTCGGTCGACCTCATATAGGATAAGGTCGACCTCATTTAGCATTCGGTCGACCTCATATAGGATCAGGTCGACCTAATCTGTGTTTAAGTGTAAAAACAATTCATGATGCCTACTTTGGATATTTATATAATACAATAGGCTAGATGGGAATTGAAGACTAATGACTTGTTTTGAAGCTGGAGTGTCCCTCTACATATTGAAGTGGAAGAGAGCTCGATAGGAAGTCCAGAAGACCATTTTTGAACCTCATCAAAAGGTTATGGCAAAACTGGGAAACTGCATGAAAATGGCTTAAGTCTGGAAACATGTTTGTTAAGCCTATTTAGGAGGTCAATTCGAGAAGCATGAATGCGAGTCGAGTCCAGGAGCCTCTACCACGTTAAATTTTGTATGTTTTTATACAAATTCAAGGCATTAGATGAAAGATTGGATATCTGTAAGGCATCAAACAAAAGGGTAGAAAATGCTACGAAGGCTGTTTTTCTGGCAGACTTCGAGCACAAGCAAGCTGCAAGAAAAGCAGCCTTCGTAGCAACTTCGAGCCTTTTGTTTGAAGCCTTAAAGATATTCAATCTTTCATCCAATGCCTTGCCTTTGTATAATAAAATACGTTATTTAACGTGGTAGAGGCCCCTGGACTTGACTCGCATCCATGCTTCTCAAATTGAGCTCCAAAGTAGGCTTGACAAACACGTTGCCAGACTTAGCCATTTTCAGGCAGTTTTCCAGTTTTGGCATAGCCTTTTGGTCAGGTTCAAAAATGGTCTTCTGAACTTTCTATTGAGCTCCCAAGTACTTTAACGTTTAGAGAGACACTTCAACTTCAAAACAAGCCTTTAATCTCCAATTTTCATCTAGCCAATTGTAAGATATGAATCTCCAAAGTAGGCACCATGAAACTGTTTTTACACTGAAACAACAGATTAGGTCGACCTAATCCTATATGAGGTCGACCGAAAAGTGCATGTCACCGTAGCAAAGTCCAAAATCATAAGAAGTGAAACATCTTTGATTCAATACATTGATCAATTGTACATACACGAACTTCCCTTCCGCTGAATTACACCGTTTTCAAATATTATTTGCGCACACAAAATTAATAATACTAAGTGGTGATGGCGCGTCTTGTCGCGGGGCAAAGATGGCTTATGGGCATTTATTATGTGGCCCGTTATGGTATTTAGTCAGTATTATTAGTCTAAAATTAATTTTTTGTTAGCCGTTTTGTTAGTAACATTGACTTGACAATATGATATTGATTAAGAGATATATGGTTGTCAACACCCAATTTAAAAAAATTTGAAAATTTTGGCTAATAAATGATATTTACCTAAATCCAAGTAGACCCACTGATTATGGGTAGGGTATGGGTGACGTATATTTGGTTTGGAAGTTCGAGGTGGGTTTGGGTAGCGAATGGATATTTATTTTCATAATCTATATCTGTATGAGTTGGGTATGGATACTCATTTATTCAAGAGTGTTTTAATTACACATACAAAAATTAGATCTATTTGTAGAACTTAAAAAGTTACGATACCAAAATATAATACACAAAGATACTGAGATGTAATGTTCCATCAATATTTTGAGGACTTATATGCCAAAAAATAAATTTAGGTTATAAATATAAAGATATATTAAGTTTAGGATCCA